CCACGCCGCCCAGAAGGGGAGGGATTCCCCAGGGCCCCCCATGAAGCCCCTCGGCCCGGCCGATGCCCTGGGAGCCAGAGCCAGCCGGCGCGAGCGCGGTGGGCACGGGGCGGACGCCAGTGTGACCAGGCTGGGCAGCGAGCCTTCTCGTCTTAGATCCTGGTCTCCTTGGCCCGCAGGAAGGCTTACCTGGTCGACGGTGGAGCCAGGGCGATCCCCTGCCCCAGGCAGCACGCGCTTCCCGCCCCCCAGCCCTGGCTAACTAACCCGGCTGGGTTTGTTGGCCAGGAACTGGTCACCATGAATGGCAATCAGAGGCAGCCTCTTCCTCTCCACCTCTCAGGAGGTGGCTCATAGCGCCCCTGTCCCCCTGTGGGTTTCAGACTGACTCCTCCTTTCGGAGTGGATAGCACCATGCCCTGGAAAGCCAGTGTCCATCCATGTCCAGCAGGGTGTCTCTCCTTCCCGTGGTGCCCAGGGGCCCGAGTCAGGTCTGACTCAGAGACCGGCTGGCCGGGAATTCAACAGAACACCCTCCCCTGCCCCTGCCATCCTCCGTGTGAGCCCGCTGCTGTGGCCACTGCTTCAATCCACCTCCCGTGGGGTCTTCCTCCTCTGTCCACCAGCCCTCTGCTTTACCGAGCAGGATGTCCCTTTCCAGGGACTGGCCCCTTCTGACCACACGTCCCAAGTACAGGGATGAAGTCTCACCATCCTCACCTCACCCTGACTGTCCTTCTCCTGAGACAGGGTGGTTCTTTCTTCAATGTTCTTTGCCCAGCACCCCCATCCAAAGGCATGAGTCTTCTGCTGCCTTCTGCTGCCTTCCCACTGTCTTGGCCTATGGGGGCGACTGAACGTACCATGGCCTGGGTCAGGCCCACCTCATCCTCACATGGATGCCTGGCAGGCCAGCTAGATCCAGGGCAAGGAGGAGAGTGGGCACAGTGGGAGGGATTCCCAGCACAGAAGGAGGTGGAGGGAAGAGGGAGCGTATTCCTCATCAACCACTTTCAAACAGAGAGGAGAGGGCAAAGGGGCGTGGGTTGGGATGGACAGTATATCCCCAGTGTCCACACATGATTGAATGGGCCCCTGCCTTCTGGCCCAGTGACAAGGACGTAGCATGAAGTTTGGGGGGCACCCACCTCCTGAGAGGGGCGGTCAGCTGTGATGAGCCCTGCCAATAGCGGGAGGTCTTCTGTCAGCAACACGCACCCAGCTGTGTGTCCTCAGAGCAGCCGAGGTGCCCCATCTGCCCCGTCTGTGCTGGACGGAGCTCTGAAATGCACTCACTCTGTCCCTTGGAACCTGTTCCTTTGGGGTGACAAGAGACAAGCCACGTGTGACAAGAACCGAACGGACGGGGGCCTGAAGCCTCCCACCCCTCTGGTAACAGTACCACCCTTGCCCTGACACCTTTAAGGTGGTCTTGAGCCGCAGGTCTGCCCAATGACACAGGCTGTTCGACCTCCAGGGGTCCCAGCAAACGAAAATCCTTCACCACGGTAATCAGTTCTCCGGTTGTCAAGATGTTGTCTGTTGGCCTAGTTGCCACGATTTCGATCGTCTTTCCATTGAATTGTCATTGATGGCCGATCATTGAAGGCTGCGGTCCTCGATCTTCACCAGCAGGGGCTTCAAGGCCCCCTTGCTTTCAGCAGGCCAGGCTGTGTGGCCCACACACCGCAGGTGGTGGCAAAGCCTCTGATGCAGATCCTGACGCTGCCTGCTTCTTCCTGTAGCCCAGCTTCTGGGGGATTTGCTGAGCGTCCAGATTGAAAGCACTTGGTGACAGGACACAACCTTGAGGCGCACCTTTGCCGATCTTGAGCTACACGAGGCTCCCTTGCGCCGTCCAGACGACCGCCTCTTGACCGATGTGCAGGCTCCGCGTGAGCACAACCAAGGGTCCCAGCATTCCCATTCTTCTCAAGGCTGTACACGGTTCCTTAGGAGCCACACGGGCGAATGCCTGTGCATAGTCAACACAACCATGACCCGGTGCGCCCTGCGTTCAGCCAGCCAAGATCCGTGGGATGTCGGTGACCCTTACCCCTTTTGCCACGTTCTCTGAATCTGGCTTCCCTTTCTGGGGGCTCCTTGTAGATGAGCTGCAGCAACAGTCGTTGGAAGCCCTTCCACAACATTCTGTTTGCATGTGATCTTCACGGTGCTGTTCGATCGTTCTCTTCCCTTGGGGAGGGGACAAAGGTGAATCTTAAATGTCTTGGCATCGGGTGGGGCTGCTTCTGGTGCTTCCCCGCTTGCCAAAGCACCCAGTGGGCATTCCCTCAATCCCTGGGGCCTGCTCTTTGCTGAGGTCTTCAGTGAACCTTGGACGTCTGCAGCACGGGCAGTTCCTGGATCACGAGCCACCTCCTGAAATGGGTGGATTTGGACCGGTGCCGTTTGGCTCAGTGACTCTGTGTATTCCTTCCGCTTCTTTAAGTGCTTCCTGCACCACAGCTACATGCTCACCTAGAGTACCAGTGCAGCAAGTGGCAGAAGGGTGGGGAGCAGGGAGAAGACGTCGGGCACCTTTAATCGGGTTTCAAGTTCAAGTTGGAGACAGACAGGACTGGAGCATCCTTGGCACGGTGACCTGTTGCCTGAATGGACTCTGGTTTCTGTGATAGTGGCCCCTCTGGGTGCCCTCGCCTCCATCCTGAAAGGCACCTGGTTCTTACCTTAGAGCCTTTGCCATCACAAATAGCAGCCCCCACCCCCCACCCACCCCTTCCATTCTGATCTGACCCTCATTGGCACCCCATACCCTCCGGGATTCAGAGAGCAGGCAGCACAGAGACTCCGTCTCCCCAGAGGACTTCCCTGACTATCCACCGGGTCCCTGACCGAGTCGCACACACAGAGTCAGACACCCTGCCTTCCTGTGTAGGGTCCCTCCCCTGCGCCCGCCCCAGGGAGCGCCCCACCGCTTCGCAGCTGGGCCCTGGCCTGCCATGCGGCCCGGCTCCCACAAGGGGGAGCGCCCGGAGGGCACTGGGGCTGCGGGCTGGGGCCGCGCTGAAGTTTTCGCCTCC